AGAATTGAGTAGCATGTATGTAAATCTACCTTAAAAAATATGCTTTTCACCAAAATCATATGGTTTTTGATGAGACAAGATTCCACTTTTATATTGCTCATCCAATATAATGTTCTTTATGATATAAGGTCTTTGGCTCAATTATAAGGATCCACAAAAATCATTAAGTTAGCAGTATTTTTGATGTGATATAAAAGATTTGGGTAGTCTAAATGTAAAATTTATAGCTGTTAGACATGTAAATAGGTAAAAGTTGGGTGGTATATATGTAAAGGTCCCTAAAATCTTACCTGTTTGGAACTGGGGATCAAGGGAGAAAAGTTCCCTCTGTTCATCAGAAGGGTTTCCAACCCAATAGCAGAACATCCATGCAGCAACAGCAACCGAAGAAAACGAGAGCAGAGCCAAAAAGCCGAAATGCCGCACATCATTTGCAATTATTGCAACACCCAACATCGCAAATTCCGCAAGGCTCGCCATTGAAATCTCCGTCGTCCCGATCAAATTCGCCTTCGAAATAGGAATTCCGGTCTGAAGAATTTGGGTTCCAACAACATCATAAGACATATGACCCAGCCTCGACAAAACCTGAAACGAAAACACGTAAAATGTTACACAGAGTCGATAAGCGAAAAATCTGTACATACCACACAATTTTTATGCATTTACATGTCTAATAACTAAACATTCACATATACCTAAATCAGTCAAATCTTTAACATACATCAATGACATCACTACCATTGCCTTTTAAAAGTGAAATATGCCTTTCCATAGTTAGATGTTATAAATGTAAATATGAAACTTTGGGTGTTACATATCTAAATACATAAGAATTGTGTGGTAGGTATGTAAATTTCCCAAAAATCTATCCAAATGGCTTACAATCAGTAAGAGGAAGAAAAACAGCGGCTTTGACCTTGAGACAGAACCGACACAAAATACCCCGAGAGCTGCGGCGAGAAACACACTCTGAAATACTAATCCAGCAGCTCCTGCCTGTAAAAGTGAGTGAAGGAATCAGTGTAGGGCTGAAACGTAAATTGAATAAAAGAATGGGTTTTGGTTAAAACCTTCAGAATGCCTAATTTTTCAACTAGTTTGGCAGATATGAATGTCGCCGCAACACCCATGAAGGCAGATAACCCGCTAAACCCGCCAATGGTCGAGGGACTGACTCCTGTCATAGACGAATAGAATTGCCATATTGAAAATACAGGATAAATTAGCAAATTACAGCTTAAACAATTCAACATCAAAGGTTAAGCATGCAAATTGAAATATACATTTATACACTCCATTAGATGTGTGCGAGAAAAATACCAACATTTTGACTTTTAAAAGATGAAATACACTCTTTTAAGCATGAGTAAGGTAGCATGTAAAAATTAAATTTAGGTGTTAGATATGTAAATACATGGGACTTGAGTGGTATGTATGTAAATGCTCCATTAAAAATACGCAACCATTGTTTGATGCCACTAAAATTTGCTCAGCATGTAATATAAGCAAAGGAGCAGAAGCATAACTGGGGGAGTTTGATTGGTACAAATGGCAGTAAATATGACAATAAAGAAAGAGGCCGAAAAAAATTAGCAGCAAATTATCATAATTTAGCAGAAAAGAAAATAACTAAATCATACCATGATGCATTAGAAATGCTGTCATTATGGACCCTGGAGAAAGGGCGATGTTGAAATACAGGAATACATAAGCCAAACTTGCAGGAAGAATGGGCTGATTTCTATATTCCATCCAGCCATTTCTCATGGACTTGAATCCATTTTCCACTGAAAATACAATAATAAATCAGAAATGTTTACATACATAGCACACAATTCTTATGTATTTTCACGTCTAACACCTACATATTTATATTTACATGCACATCAAATACATCAACTTCACTATCTTTTTAAAGTAAATTACACAATTTCATACATAGTTTTATGACACTAAGGTGTCATAAGGCTTTGTTTTAGACATATTTGTGCCATGTGTTTTAGATCATCATCACAACTTTGTTAAGGAAACCGTTTTCTTGTTGTTTTTTATAAATTTTTGCGGTGATGAGTTGCCTTTTTCCAATCTAGTCTGTCAAAGTGCCGCGTCCTTAAGAAATTTGTTGTCTTATATATATATATATATATATATAATTCACACCATAATTTTTTAAATGGTTTTTTCTCCATGACAGCTTCACAGCCACATCTACAAAAAAAAAAAAAAAATACAGCCACCCGAAGCAAACCCTAAGTGTAAATATCAAATATTAGTTGTTAGATATGTAAATACATAAGAATTGTGTGGTATGTAAATAAATTTCCCAACATAATAACCCTACTATAGATACCTATTTTTCCCATATTGAAAAGATAATTAACTCTAAAGGAATTATCAGAATCCTGAGAGTGTTTGGAGCATTCAAGCGCACCACTAGAACTCCTGTTTATAAATTCTCCTAAAATAAACTGCAAAAGCTTAAACGGTTTGAGAAATCAATAAAAATTAACCCAAAAGAATATACAAAAATTGAATGTACCAAAATTGGCAATGCACATATCATCAGTCCAGAAGCAAGTTTTAAACATGTTACTGTACAGCATTTGGATAGCAAAAACCCAAAAATTGAAGCCCCAGCTATCTGCAAGCATTTTAAGCAATGACTCAGTGTTCACATAACCAACATATGTAAATTTACATATATACCGCCCAATTCTTATGTTTTTACATATCTAACCCCTAAATCGTGTTATACCAACCAAATCTTTTGTCACATAAAAAAATCACTATTTTAACTTTTAGAAAGTGAAATATATCTTTTCATGCATAAGTAAGGTGTCGTAGATGAAAAAATTGAAGTTTAGGTGTTAGATATGTAAATACATAAGAATTGAGTGGCATGTATGTAACTCATCCAAAAATCAAACTAACAGATGTAACATTCACCTCACAAAGAAGATCAATTCAGCATGGCGTTCGCATATGCTAGTGCGATTGGCCTATTAGTGCCTGCTAACTTTACATGACAGTAGAAACTAAATCATGAAAAGGAATAAGGGGCATTTACAAACATAGCACACCATTCTAATGTATTTACATATCTCACACCTAAACTTTCATAACACCTAAACTTTCATCCTAAACTTTCATATTTACACATATAACACTCCAATCTTTAATATCATATAAAAGATGGTATTATTACCACTTTTTAAAAGTGAAATACACTTTTTAAAAGTGAAATACACCCACACCCTTTCATGCATAGTTTTAAAGCACCAAAGTGCTATGTGTGTAAATATGAAAGTTTAGGTGTGAGATATGTAAATAAATAAGAATTATGTGCAAGGTATGTAAATTTCTCAATAAATAAATACATAAAGAACAAATAATTGCAGTAACTGAAATCATAAAATTACCAGAACAACCCATTCACGCTCAACCGTGACACCCAGAGCTAAGCCAGCAAGCCTTTCAATCGCCCCCACTGCAACCAACACTATAAACCAAGGTTGGAAAAGCACGGCTGATGCAGAATTACACGGCGGGCTACAGAGTGCGTGTATGATCATTGCCGCTGACAATAGCTGCGCAGCTGTCTGGCGCAATACACATGTTAATAACCAAATTTCAATTTAGCCGTTAAAAAATGACGTGAAGTTTGCTTTTTTGCATTTATACCACCCAAATCATGCATAACAAATAAAAAATATCACTGTTTAAATTTGTGAAATAAACCTATTCAGGGATAGGTAAGGTGGATAAATGTAAAAAATAAAGTAATGTGCATGCATGTAAATGTCCATTTTTTAACATAGGCTCAAAGTTGAATTTGTGAAATAAACCTATTCAGGGATAGGTAAGGGGGATAAATGTAAAAAATAAAGTTAGGTGTATGCATGTAAATGTCCCTTTTTTAACATAGGCTCAAAGTTTTAGCACACCTGTATAATGTTAAGACTGTGATATGCAGGAATTCTTGGAAAGTGATCCATGAGATTGCCAACCAAAGGAGCCCCAATGAATACTGACAGCTGAATTTAACAAAATCAGTCACTACTAATCATATCTTAAAATCTCCATGAAAAAAGGTGCATTTACATACATAGCACAAAACTCTTATGAATTTACATATCTAACACCTAACTTTCATATTTACTCACATAGCACTCAAATCTTTAATATCACATCAAAAATAACACTATTATCACTTTTTAAAAGTGAAATATACTGTTTTATGCATATGTTTAAAATACCAAAGTGATATGCAAGTAAATATGAAATTTTACGAGTGAGATGTGTAAATAAATAAAAATTGTGTGCTCTGTATGAAAAGTTCCCTATAAAAAAAAATACAAGTTGGTAACTTTAGCTACCTTGGCGAAAAAACCCACAACAGCGACAGGCAAAAGACTTGGATGAAGAGTTGCAACAGCTGTAGGCCATGCAAAATTCCACAGTTGTTCAACCACATTCCCAACAAGGAAGCTCGCATATAAAGCTGCAAACAACCTTTTCCCGATCAAATTTTATAACAACATAATCCAGATCTTCATAGAAACATAATCAGCCGAAATGATTATATCATAATACAGTTAAATTGAAGGAAGATTTAAATACATACCATCCAATTCCTATGTATTTACATATCTAACGCATACCTCTTATATTTACAAACATACCACCTTACCTATGAATGAAAAGGTGTCTTTTACTTTTTGAGAGTTAAAACGATAATATTTTTTATGCAATACGAAAGATTTAGGCGGTATAAATAAAAAAAGCAAAGTTTAGTGTTACATATGTAAATGCATAGGAATTGGGTGGTTATGTAAGTAAATGCCCCTCAATTGAATCGTGACTTATGCAACAAAAATCTCCGAGGATCATTATTCATGCTCCGTTTTTTTTTCCCTATTTTATTCTCTTGTGTGAAAGAAGTCTGAACAGAATCATGTGTTAAAGAGCTTGCTCAAGCTCATAAGCTCATTGCACTTAGATTTATAATGCTACTAACGGCAAGCTTAAGCGAAATAATTAGACCAAACTACAACACAATTTATTAATTAACTCTGAAAGCCGAAAAACATGTGAAATTTGCTCACCATATAAACCTGCAGGGTGGGCTGGAGTGGCTGCTAGAGCATCTTGTTCATCCTTGGTTAGAACCTGAAATGCAACTTCTTGACAAATAAGAATGCAATATTATTAATGCTGTATCTTGCACAAAATATGTAATTTCAAATAAATCTGGGTCCAAAATGTAAACAGGAGAAATAGATTATACCGGTACTTCTCTTAGAAGAGAATTTATGCAGTCATCTTCCTTTAATAGCTTTAATGAAGTGGAATAGAAAATATCTGATGCCAAGGGAGGCAATGTATTCGAGCAAGATGCTAGATCATCCGAAGTATCGTCCTCTGCTGCGATGGAGCTTGCATCAACATTGACATCCACAACAGAGCATTTTGAAGAAAAGCCACCAAACCTATCTCATCGAATAAGGTATAAAAACAGCTTAATACTTTTATATTTACACCACCCAAATCTTTCATATCACAGAAAGAATACCATCATTTTAATTTTTAAAAAGTGAAATACATATTGTCATGCATGTGTAAAACAGTGCATGTAACAATTGAAGTGTTGTGGCATGCATGTAAATCTTCCAAAATATTATCGCACTTGATGACTCCCTACAAAAATTCTATTATTCACATGGCGATTGAGTTAGTTGTCGTTTTTCATCCCAATTAAGAAACGAGTTGGCCATGATAAGAAGATCCCCCTTTTGAACAAGAACTAGATCAATAACACTATCAAAAGAAAGCATATCAATTTCAAAAATCATAACCTAAGTAGTTGTTTAACTTTGGTGTAGCTCCAGTGAAGGACAAAATTAGAGAGAGTCCTCTTAGATGTTTAGTCATATTAAACGTCGACCATCTGATGATCCGTTTAAGAGAGTAGATGTTTTAGATTCTACTTATGTTAAGAAAGGCAGAAGTAGACCTAGAAAGTCTTGGGCATATTGTATAAAAAACTATCTTAATTTATTATAATTAAATGAAAATATGACACTCAATAGAATGCAATGGAGAAAAAGGATTCATGTAGCCGACCACACTTAGTGGGATAAAGGTTTGTTGTTTTTGTTGATGTTGTATAACCTAAGGAGTCGTTTAGTAGCAAGAGTTAGCCTAGATTTAATGACTATTTGATTTGAATCATGAAAAAAAAAATTATACTCTTTAAATTCTACCGACAAATGTAATCATGTTTCTTGTAGTTTTGTGTTAAATCATGAATTTCTTAAATCCTAATAGAATTTGGATTTAACATGATGTATTATTGTAACTTCTCTTCTCTCTCAAACTTCGCTCAAGAAAAAAAAAACTATTATGTGGAATAGCAGATTGAGATGCATGCATCGTAGGCATAAAACCGCTAGAAATTTGCTATCAACAAATTATTTAAAGTTAGAGAATAAGAAAGAGGATATATTAATCAATGGGTTAAATAGAGATATAATTGAGAAATTATGAAGTGTAATAAAACTTAAGCCCATGAAAGAATAAAGTTGATAAGAAGGAAACCCAACCTAGTTAACTCGAGATCCACCATCAAGATTAAAGGGGAAAAACCAAATTATAAAAATGATGTCTTGCCACTGTGAGGAATATTTTCATATCCATTCCTATGATGTGACCGTGCTAACATAGATGAATGGCTTATTTATACTTTTAGGGTCATTTACATACATACCACATAATTCTTTTACATTTATATATCTAACACCAAAAACTTTAATATTTATATTCATAAAACTCAAACCTTTACATAACAAAATAGTAAAATGACACAATTACTAAACTTTTTAAAAGTAAAATACACTTTTTAATGCGTAGATTTATAACAACAAAATATTATAATTGTAAATAACAAACTTTAGGAGTTACATATGTAAATACATAAGAATTGTATAACATTACCCAATTGGTTGATTAAAAAAAAACAATGTGAGTGACAAGTGAGGTTGATTCATAGGAGAATTATACATGGCTCAATTCTTTATAAATTCTCATAGAACTAGACAAATATTCCTGGAAAAAACAGACACAATAGTGAAATCCAAATTTGCATCTAGAAGAAATATGTGTGAGGCAAATCACTATTTGCACGAACGACAGAGCAATTTAGAAATATTGCACCTACTGGTCCATATTAAGGTAAGTATATTCCCAGAAGAGAAGGTTCAATGGTTAATGCATGCCAAACATACGCAAATCTCAAATGTAGAACTCTTTCAACAAGTTGAGATTTCTCTATATAAGTAATAAAAGTTTATAATTTTTTATTATGCAGCTTAGGTAATTTAATAATTAAGAAATTTGCAGGATTTACCAAATCCAACTTGACCTAAATCCGACTTGTATTGAAACAGACCATGATCAAGGAATGACCTGCAAAGGGAGAACCCTGGCAGCCTCTTGCTGCGAATCAATACAGGGTAATGCTGCCGCCGCCGTTGCTGAGTAACCAAAGGCCTTCCCCGCTGCAGCAAAAGAGGCTGGGAGAAAGAAGAGTGAATAGCCAACCTCATGGACGCTTTAAGAAGCCGGAATTGACGAGGCGCCCGCACTCCTTTCGCCGATTCATGCGGCCTTGCGTGCCCGGCCGATCCAAAATCTAGGGTTCCTCACGGATTAAGCTTCCTTGAGAATTTGAAATCAAGCCCTCTCGCGCTGGCGGGCGAGCAGAGCCTTATCTGATGGGAGGTGAGGCGAAACAGAAGGAATGCGGGGGAGATGCGTCTGCTCTGATGGACTAACGCCTAAAATCTCATACTTACATGGGGTTTTCATGAAAATATGTATTTCATTTTTAAACAAAATATAATAATATTATTTCTTATGTGATATACAAACTAGATTGTTAAATGTGTAAATAGGGAAATTTAAGGGTCCGTTCGGGGTAGCTTATTTGATGCACATCTGACCTGTTTGGATAAACTGTGTTTTGGCAGCCTATTCATTTTCAAAATGTTGAAAACAGAGTTTTCACAATGCTGAAAACAGAGTTTTCACACTGCACCTGTCTAGGTGCGGTGGTAGCTTTCTAGTTAGTTTTCACACTGCACCTGTCTAGGTGCGGTGGTAGTTTTCTAGTTGCGGTCTGACTTTTCAAAAAAAATAAAAATTTACAATAGCTACCGCACATAACTTATCAGTAGATTATTTTCAATCAGCTTATTAGCAGATTATCTAATAAGTTGCAGCTGTCCCAAACAGACCCTAAATATGAGATATGTAAATATTTTACTATCACATATATCTTATGTATTTATATATCTAATATTCAAATTTTGTTTTTTTATTTATACCGCACAAAGTTTTTAAAAAATTAGAAGTTAGTGATTTGATATGTAATACATAGGAATTGATTGGTATATATGTAAATCTTATAACAAAATTTAATAAATACAATTTGTAATCAAAATAACTCTTTGGGATTAAATTTGTTTGTTTGTTTATTTATTTTTATGTATATTTATTTTGTTTTTAAAACTATATTTAAAAATAGTTTATAAATAGTTTAAACTTTCATGAAATAATTAAACATATTTTATTTCAAATAAAAAATTAAATAGAATAAAAAATTAAAAATAAAAGTGATCGAAAAAAAATGCTAAGTAGGGCTGTAAATGAATCAATGCACTCGATGAACAACTCAAACTAGTTTTGATTAAAATTCGAGCATGTTTATTCAAATTAATAAATAGACAGGCTTGAACGATTTTTAAAAATGCGTATCTTAAATGAAGTAAGTGTGAACATATTTGAATTTGTTTATTTACATATTTATTTGACTTATTGTTTGTATATTTTAAATTTTTTTTTATTTTTTAAAATAACTTAACTTGTAACTTATAAATATGCTTAAAAATAATAATACTTCAATCAAATAGCCAAATATATATATATATTTTCCAAATAAAAATAGAAATAAAATTAAAAATAAAAATTAAGTCCTCAAAAGGCGCCGTCTACCTCTTTCGGGTTTCGGATGCGGATGACACGAACTTTCCGTGTTCGAACTGACACGTAACGTATAGGTTATTTTTGGCGCCAAAAGTTCCCGCCAAATCACCCGTTCGGTAATTAACCCTACTAGGGCTCCATCTTGCCACCACCCGCGCCGACGATCCCAACTGCAGGTACAGAGGATTGCGCTGCACAGGCGATAACAAGTGCTGAAGAAGATCCATTCGTGCTCTATGGTAGCTTATCTTTTCCCACCAACTATGCTCCATTTCTTATTTTTCTGTACTCGAATGAAGAATATTGGTCCGTTTTCTCTCTCTCTGTCTCTTTGCAGGCGGATCCCGAAAACCCTGCTTCGAACACTGGGTCGTTTTCATCAGCGGGATTTAGCACCGATCGGCTACCTCCGGACTCGTCCGGATCCTCTGACGATGATGAAGCCGCCGTCGACCTCCATGCTCTTAGGGATGATGATGCTGACGGCGATGGTGAAAATGGGGAGGAGGAGGAGGAGGGCGAAGATCTCTTTAACGAAAACTACTTGATGTGAGTAGTTGGATCCCTCATGCCGTTTACGGCAACATTCTAAGTAATTTGATATTGATGACATAACTGGGGCTGGTTATAGGGACTATCGTCAGATGCAGAGCCAGGACCAGTATGAATCGATTGGCCTGGATGATTCAATGGAGGACGAGAGAGATCTTGACCAGATAATGGCTGATCGTAGAGCTGCGGAGATGGAGCTCGATGTAAGGGAGGGGCGCACTGCTGATGGTAATCGGAAATTGCCCCGAATGCTTCACGAACAGGGTAATGTTCTTAAAATCCATTTCCTCTCTCAATTGTATGATTTTATCGAAGTGACTTACAGATCACTGTTTGGTATTCCACTAGCGAAGGATCCAGTGGAAGAAAATTATGGCCGATGGGTTGTTTTTTAACATTGTTCTCTTATGATAACTAAGCTTTAAGCCTCCAATCTTATAGTTATCCTTCAGGCAACGTTGAATCATCATTTCAACAGTTGTCACTAACATCCAAGAAATGCATAAGCTTTAAGCCTCCAATCTTATAGTTATCCTTCAAGCAACGTCCAAGAAATGCTTTTTTAAGCTTCTTTGATCACAACTTGCATCCATTTTCCGAGCATGTTCATTTTAGCTCGCTGCAATTGCAGACACGGATGATGAGGACTATTTCAGGCGTCAAAAAAGATATAGAGCTGATTTCAGACCGCCAGGTGGACCAAGAAGTGAAGAAGATGTTGTTGGTACCCCAAGTTCACCTGGAAGATCTGGTCCGCCCAGGACGCCTAGGGATGATTTGCCCACCACTGATCAGACAGAGGAAGACACTTATGAGGTACCACTTTGCTTCTTACAATGATTCTTTGTGCTGTGCTTATTTAAAACATTGGAATACTTTGATAGGATGAATACGACGATGATGCCGAGCTAAATATGTATCGCGTTCAAGGAACTTTAAGGGAATGGGTCACCAGAGATGAGGTTCGAAGATTTATTGCTAAGAAATTTAAGGAGTTCTTATTGACATACGTGAATCCAAAAAATGAACATGGTGACTATGAATATGTTCGGTTGATCAATGAAATGGTGTTAGGTATATCTAATTTCAACTCTGACCTTAAATTTTGAGCTGGATAAAACAAAAAAATCTCAATTCACGCACTAACAGAGAATTTTAGTGTCAATCTTATGCAGCTAACAAATGCAGTTTGGAGATTGATTATAAACAATTCATTTACATTCATCCGAATATAGCTATTTGGCTAGCTGATGCTCCTCAATCAGTGCTGGAAGTCATGGAAGAAGTTGCTAACAAAGTTGTTTTTGATTTTCACAAGAACTACAAGAATATTCATCAAAAGATTTATGTACGTATTACTAATCTACCCGTATATGATCAGATTCGTAATATCAGGTCAGTCCCTTTGCAATTAACCCCTCATTTTCTTTTTATTGACAACGGTTTCTCTGATAAATAAATTATTTGCAACCCAGACAAATCCATCTGAACACCATGATTCGGATTGGTGGAGTTGTGACCAGGCGATCTGGGGTTTTCCCACAGCTACAGCAAGTAAAGTATGACTGTAACAAATGCGGTGTAATTCTTGGTCCCTTCTTCCAGAACTCTTACTCTGAGGTGAAAGTAGGATTTTGTCCGGAGTGCCAATCGAAAGGTCCTTTCTTGATCAATGTTGAACAGGTGTGTTTTTTCAAGGATGATTTACATACGTACTGCTTAATCCTATGTTTTTGTACATCTACATCTAAAATTCAACTTTTATCAATGTGCCCCCAAGGGGCTGAATCAACATTATTTTTGAGAGTGTGCGAAAATGTGCCCCCAAGGGGCTGAATCAACATTATTTTTTAGAGTGCGAAAAAAAAAAAGAAACATTGAAAGACTTGTTCTATTCATTGACCACTTGGGCTTATATAGAATCTTATAACTTTTTAAAAAATAAATCTCTAGACTTTTTTCTATATTTCTTATTTACAAATATGACTCTAAACTAGATATAAATCTCAACACTTCACCTCAAGATGGGCAAAAGGTATCCACTAAGCCCATCTTGTCAGATAACATAGACAAATTTAACAAGCTAAATTCTTTTGTGAGGCAATCATCCATTTGCTCTCCAATGGCTACATGACTTAGCTCCAGTAGTTTGTTATGCAGCTTTTCCTCGATGAAGAACCTATCAATCTCCACAGGTTTTTTTCTATCGTGTTGTTCTATGTTGTTGACAATGTTGATTGTTGACTTTGTTGCACCACAACTTCATTTGAGCTCTATGGTGCGCCTTGAGCTCTACCGACAAGGTTCTCAGCCACATCATCTCGACAACTCCTAAGACCATGGCTCTATACTCTCCTTCTGCCTTTGACCTTCCTACTACCGACTATTTCTTGCTCTTCCAAGAGATCAAGTTGCCCACATATAAACATGCAATATCCCCCCCCAAAAAAAAACGAAAATGCAATATCCAAATGTGGACCTTCTGTCATCAACACAACTTGCCCAGTTAATGTCACAATAGTTTTCAATGCCTACATGCCCATTGTTCTAAAGATCAATTGTTTCTCTAGTTCACTCATTCGGTACTTCATAATTTGATACAATGCGTACAAGTGGCCCTTCCCTAGATCTTGCATGCAGTGACTCGGCATGCTTACTGCAAATTATTTGTCGGGATGAGTGTGACTCAAATAGATGAAACGACCTACCAACCTCTGGTACTTCTTGCGGTCAACTGGCTCTCCTGCCTGCGCTCAACTTTTCCTTATGCACAATTGGTGAAATTGCAAGCTTGCATCCCAACATGTTTGTCTCTGTCAGCAAGTCTAGCACATGCTACCTGAGCTAGAACAATCTCCTCTACTCCACGAGCCGCCTCAATTCCAATAAAGCATCTAAGCTGTCCTGAGTACTTCATCTCAAACTTTCCCATCATTATCGGTGACTATTATATCATCTATATATACGACAAGTATAGTAATGTGACTACTATGTCATCGAATGAACACTTTGTGGTCGATTGAGCGGTTTTCAATTTGGTTTGCTCTCATAAGTGCTTCGGGACATTCATCGGAATCATCATACTTTGGGAAATCTCTAGAAGGTGTATATTCTTCCTTTTTGTTACTTTATTTTGTGTCGGTGTGTATGGACATATACTTTGATATTGTATCTCTTGATCTGATAGCTACTCCCCAAACGTCTTGTTGGTATACTCTTTCTCATTATCTGACATCAATACCTTCAATACTACATTTTGATCTGAATCGCTTTGTGAAAGTCTTTAAAGAAGGCAAGCACATCACTTTTATTTATCATCAGATATGACCAAGCAACACGAGAAAATCAATAAATGAAATTCAGAAAAAATCTATAACCATTCATCAAAGTTGTAGAAAAAGGTCCCCATATATCTAAATGCACCTAATTGAATACATAAGAACTTCTATTATCAAAACAAACATACGAGCTCCTAATACACTTACCAAATTCACAAGCATCGCACACTAATTTTTTGTTTATTTGTCTTTTCATACAAAAATGGATACAAATGACTCAATAACGAAACAAAGAGTGTCTCATACGTCTGTGATATAGTAGCTACACATCCTCCACATTCCTCAGATCCTCTTACTCCAACACTCTATGATTGATGTTAAGGCTGAGCTATCCCATCTTTATTCAAGTATCAGAGTCCACCATGTCATGTGTTAGTCGCAAGTTTCAGGTCAATTTCCTTCTCTTGAAAGAACAACTTAGGAATATCAAACAAAATAACACTTCTTAGTTGGAGAATAATGATACTAATGAATAAAAAGTTCACTTACATTGGATAGTTATATAATCGGTACCCCCACTGTACCCTTATTAACTATAGGTTGTGTTGTACCATCAACAGTTTAATCTCTGGAATTGTATAGGAAAAGGACTCATTAGATTTACCTATCACATGATGAGATGCACCAAAAGCTATTATTTATTCTGGTAATCTTATGGTGGATATAGAGGCAGAGCATATGTATTACGAGTATCTTGGCTGAGTGAGCATAAGTAAATGTATTGTCGTTGAATGATGGTAAGGTGGATGTATCCTTTGTCACACGCTCTTCGCTTTCTCTTCAACATTTCTAGGAACTTGTGATCATTATCTTTAAAGACGACCTCTTTAGTCTCCACTGCTACGATCACGTCCTCTAGACTGTGCACATTCACTCGTCTCTCTCTTCTTGGGTAATTTTGGACAAGCCTTGTGTCTCACTTCTCCACAGTTGTAGCACCTGCGGATCTCCCACAAAGCACCTATCATATTTGAGTCGTGGCAGTGAAAGCTGATCATGTACCCGAAGTCCACTTGGGTCTGAGTGTCGCCTCATGCGACTCTCCTCTTGTATCATCAAGGCGATGGCCTCATCCATTGAAGGGATCGTTGTCCAGGCTAGGAGGATTGATTTCCTTTAATCAAAGGCCGGGTTCAGATGAGGCAAAAACTGCTAGTCCTCATCTATGTAAAAATCTCCATTTCTTGCACCCTGGATCACCACAACCCGATATATGTGAGAAGTAATCAAGATCTTGCCACATCTACTCCAACTCTATAGAGTACTTCTGAATCTATCTATCAACCTGTACCAATGTCTCTATGTCACACTAAATCTGAAACACCCTCATGTTGGACATAATATGATTCCGCCTCTGATGCCATCTTATACATGCATGAAAAGTGGCGATCATCCTCTGATGCCATCTTATACATGCATGAAAAGTGGCAATCATTTTTTAAAAAATTAAAATAGTGGTATTTTTTATGTGATATAAAATATTTGGGTGTTATAAATGAATACAATAAAATTTCTTATATGCTATCAAACATTTTTTTCTTATATTTTTTTCTAATATTTTTCACGTCTAACCATCCTGAAATTCAGACAATTTACAGGAACTATCAAAAGCTTACCCTTCAGGAAAGCCCTGGAATCGTGCCTGCTGGTAGATTACCGCGATATAAAGAAGTTATACTTCTGAACGATCTTATTGATTGTGCCCGTCCAGGAGAAGAAATTGTACATCTTTTTTACACATTAATTTTAGTTTTAATAGATAAAAATTGAGTGCTGCCTCATTATTTCTTACTCATGATTCAATTATTTCAGGAAGTTACAGGCATATATACCAATAATTTTGACTTATCGCTCAATACCAAAAACGGTTTTCCGGTTTTTTCAACTGTTGTGGAGGCAAATTATGTCACGAAAAAACAAGATCTTTTTTCAGTTTACAAGCTTACTGATGAGGACAAATCAGAGATCGAAAAGTTGTCAAAAGATCCAAGGATTGGCGAAAGGGTTCGTCATCCAGCTTTTCAGTCTTCATTATCTTTTAGGAAGATTTACGTACACACCACTAAATTCTTATGCATATACACACATAGCACTTCAATTTTTTTCATAAATGCCTCTTTATAAATGCATGAAAAGGTGTATTTCACTTTTTAAAAGTTAAAGTAGTGATATTTTTTATGTAATATGAATGATTTGGGTGGTATATGCTAATATAAAATGTAAATTTTAGGTGTTAGATATGTAATTACATATAGTGGTGTAAACGAGCTGAGCTTGAGTAAGCCCAGACTCAACTTGTGTTCGGCTTGTTACAAAATACAGTTGGTGGTGTTCGGCACGTTTGTTTAGCCAGCCGAACACGAGTTCTTGAGTCATTTTCACATCCCTAGTCACGTAGCCAAACCCTAATCACGCAGTCGTAGGATATTAAGGACAGGGGCAAGATTTAAATCTTATTCTTTATATTAAAATATCTTTTATATATATATATAATTTAATATTTCGAGTCAATACAAGCAAAACATGATCAAACAAATATTTGTTCGTGATATGCTGATTGGCTCATCAAACGAATTGAACACGAGCTACATAACATAACAAGTTGAACACGAGTTGTTCGCAAACAACTAGCCATTTTGACAGCCCTGAGTACATAGGCATTGGGTGGTATGTATGTAAGTGCCCCCATTATTTTTTTAGGAAAATTTATGACGTGGTTACATGTCTAACGCCTAAACTTCAATTTTTACATACATGCCACCTTACATTGCAATTAAAAGAAGTATTTAATTTTTTTGAAAATTAAAATGGTGATATTTTTATGTTATATGAAGGATTTGGGTTATATAAATATAAAAAAGCAAAATTTAGGTGTTACATATTTAAATTTTCGTATTTTTTTAGTGACGCTTAAAGCCATATTTGCTGCAGATTGTAAAGTCCATTGCACCTTCAATTTATGGACATGAAGACATTAAGACAGCGATTGCTCTCGCCATGTTTGGGGGGCAAGAGAAAAATGTGAAGGGAAAACATAGATTGAGAGGAGATATCAATGTTTTACTTCTCGGAGATCCTGGTACTGCTAAATCCCAATTTCTCAAGTAAGGATGACTTGACATGATTGAAGAAAATAGTAACTATTCTGCCTGTTTGTTTATAGGGGCATTTACAAATATACCACCCAATTCCTATATATTTACACATGTAACTCCTGAACTTTACCTTTTACAATTATATGACTGAAATCTTTCATATACATCAAAGTTAACACTATGTTAACTTTTAAAATGTAAAATATATCTTTTCATGTATTTTCATGTATAGGTAAGGTGGCATGAATATATAAATTAAAATTTAGATGTTACATATGTAAATATATAAGAATTGAGTGGTATGTATGTAAATCCTTACTGTTTATAGCTGATGACTATACTTTTGTGGCACAGGTATGTTGAGAAGACTGGTCATAGAGCTGTTTATACAACAGGTAAAGGAGCCTCTGCGGTTGGCCTTACAGCAGCCGTTCACAAGGATCCTGTTACAAGAGAATGGACACTAGAAGGAGGTGCTCTAGTCTTAGCTGACAGAGGGATATGTCTCATTGATGAGTTTGACAAAATGAATGATCAGGACAGGTAGCATAACATTTTGTTCAAAATGGTGCTTTTACATACATATCGCCCAATTCTTATGTATTTACCTATCTAACTTCTAAACTTTGCTTTTTACATTTATACAACCAGAATTGTCATTCCACATAAAAAATACCTCTAAACTTTTAAGAAGTGAAATGCACCTTTTCAAGCATACATGAGGTAGCATATATGTAAATATTGAAGTATAGTTTTTAGATATGTAACTATATAGGAATTGAGTTGTGTGTATGTGAATCTTCCCATAAATTATTATGGGGCATTTACATACATACCACCCAATTCCTATGTGTTTACATTTCTAAAAACTAAACTTTACTTTTTTTGATATTTATACCACCCAAAATATTCATCTCTCATAAAAAAATGCCACTTTTTTCAATGTCTAACACGTAAACTGTCTTTTACATTTATACCACCAAAATTTTCATATCACATAAAAAATATCACTTTTTCGAACTTTTATAATGTGAAATACAGCTGTTTCATATGAACATTTTCATGCATATGAATGGTGATATATATGTAAAAATTAAAGTTTGGGTTGCATATGAATGGTGATATATATGTAAAAATTAAAGATTGGGTGTATATATGTAAATACATAGGAATTGAGTGGTATGTATGTAAATATTCCAATTATTTTACTGCTATTATTTCTACCTGTCAACCAATAGATCGGTTTCATCTGCTTAATTGCAGAGTTAGTATTCATGAAGCCATGGAGCAGCAAAGTATCAGCATATCTAAAGCAGGCATTGTGACTTCTCTTCAAGCCCGGTGTAGCGTCATATCTGCGGCGAATCCAATTGGTGGAAGGTGACTGCAAAATTTTAAATAACTGGTTTTATTTATTTGTCACACTATTCCTTGTTGAGGTAACAATTCAACCTTTGTTGGTCAGATATGATTCGTCCAAGACATTTTCGCAAAATGTGGAGTTAACCGATCCAATAATTTCTCGGTTTGATATCCTGTGTGTTGTGAAGGTTATCCACTCAAATCAGTAGCATTATGCTGTCTCAATTACTTTCTACATTTCATTTTTGGAAGAATTACATAAATACCACTTAATTCCTATGTATGTACGTATTTAGCAACTTAACTTTAATTTTTGCATATATACCACCTTACCTTTGAAAGTTAAAATAGTGCTATTTTTTACGTGTTATGACAGGTTTTGTTATGACAGGTTTGGATGTTGGATGATAAATGTAAAAAAAATAAAATTTAGGTGTTAGATATGTAAATACATAAGAAGTGGGTGGCATGTATGTATATGCCTCTTCATTTTTTGTTGTCTTGTAATTTAGTTTTAATAATTAGCTCTGCTAAATTTGAATGCAGGACATTGCTGATCCAGTAGTTGACGAAATGCTTGCAAAGTTTGTTGTTGATAGCCATGCCAGGTCACAACCAAAGGGTGGAAACATAGAAGACAAAGCTGCAAGCAACTCCCAGGATGATTCACAGAGTTCAGAAAGAACAGCAGATCCTGATGTATGATGGTTAAACATTTTTTATTTTGGAGCCTTTACATATATAGCACACAATTTTTATGTTTTTAGATATCTAACGCCTTACTTTGATATTTACATACATAATGCTCAAATCATTGACATCACATAAAAATACCACTATTTTTAACATCTTTAAAGTGAAATGCACTTTTTCAAGCATGAACTTTTTATACCAGGTGTTATATATGTAAATGCTTAAGAATCGTGAGGTATATATGTAATTTTTAATAATATTTTTCTTAGAGATGTTTATATATTCTATTGATAAATAATGGCCAGGTACTTACACAAGATATGCTCAAGAAGTACATAACGTATGCAAAATTAAATGTTTTTCCAAAGTTACACGATGCAGATTTGAACAAGCTTACTCATGTATATGCAGAGTTGCGGAGAGAGTCGTCTGTAAGATTCTTCTTTCTTATCGAAACATGATTAAAACCAACATCTTTAAGTATAATTCATATTGATTTATAAATGATTTTATAGCACGGACAAGGAGTCCCGATTGCTGTGAGGCATATTGAGTCGATGATAAGAATGTCCGAAGCTCACGCCAGAATGCATTTAAGGAGTTATGTGACGCAGGAAGATGTGGACATGGCTATTCGGGTTTTGCTAGATTCTTTCATCTCCACGCAAAAATTTGGCGTTCAGAAAGCCCTACAGAAGGTGATCTTTTCTGTTCTAATTTTTCTTATTAATAAAAAAGTTGTGTTCATTGAATTACTACTTTTGAAAGGATGTATAATTCCTATATTTGGGACTATTGGGGATAGGGAAAACATAAGGAAAGCTCGAAGAGTGAAAAAAAAGGAATTAAAAGTGTTAAAATAGTGCTTTAACTTTTTGCAGGAGATCATTTTATTCCCAAAGTCTATAAAAATGTCAATTTAATCCCCAAAATTTTAATATTAGCTGAACTAGTGCTCGAGCGGAAATTGGCCTCTGTGGAGGACCATTTCAGCCCCCAATTTAAAGAGTTTGAAGACTAATTTAACCTTTTTATAGACTCTGGATTAAAATGATTCTATGAAAACAGTCAGGAGACTATTTTGGTAATTTACACAAAATAGAATATAAGATCAACTTATAAGAATTTTATACAGCCGTCTATTACCACATAAATGTGACGTCCTTCATAAAAAGAAACTAGTTAAACATATAATAAAATTTTTAAATGGCCTTTGATGAACTAATCCTCAAACACTTGCAATTAAGTCTAGCTAGTGTTTTTTTAAGGGTAAAAATTAGGCTCCACGGCTCAATGAGGGCATCATGTTCCCCTTATTTATTTCATAGTTTCTTGATTTTTTAGATTGGAATTAGATTACTATTTTTTAAAGGCAAACGTTAATTTTGTTGCAGAGATTTAAAAAGTACATGACATTTAAGAGGGATTACAATGAGCTTCTTCTGCATCTATTGCGTGTGCTAATGAAGGATGCAATGCATTTTGAGGAACTCTTGGCTGGGCCAGCTGCTCACCTCACTCATATGGAGGTGAAGGTGGAAGAACTTAAAAACAAGGTTAGATTCAGACGCCTTTATATTATATGGGGCATTTACATACGCACAACCCAATTCCTATTTACTTGCATATATAACACCTAAACTTTTCTATTGACATTCATACTACTTAATTCTTTCAAATCACATAAAAAAATCCACCATTTTAACTTTTAAAATGTGAAATATACTTTTTCATGCTTAGATACGGTGGTATATATGTAAAAATTGAGATTCAGGTGTTAGACATGTAAATACATAAGAATATAGTGACATTGCATTTAAATCTTCCTTGTATTGTTTTCTCCTTAACTAAAAATTTCTCTTGTGATTTTTGAATCAGGCACAAGAGTATGAAATTTATGATCTGAAACCATTCTTTTCGAGCGCAAATTTTGTAAACAGCAACTTTGTTCTGGATGAAGGCCGGGGTGTGATCAGACACCCACTTGCTAGGTAAAAATTCATTCTGGTTTTTGCTAGCTGCTTTTTTTATTAAAGTCATGATAGTGAAATCTGTTATATTTTATTATTGTTGGTAGATGCCACAGTTGTTGAATTGTTTAATTTGATTTTGAGTTTGTGTTTGTAGCTAATGTCCGGTAACTTGGCTTCGAACAATTTCTCGGTCCTGCTAATTTTCTCTTACTATAACTCGGCCTATATTGTGAAATATATTTGATGTTTTACTGAATGATATTGATATATTTAGTTTTGTTTTGACAGCTGTTTTATGTTTCTGGTGACAGTTAATGTTTTCAAATTTGTCCACAAATAAAAAGGAAATTATGGCTTTTTTATTGCCCCAAAATATACAACTCAAGATAGGGATAGAATTACCTTTGCTTTAGGGGTGTACAAAATTATTTTTTTTATTCCGCTCGCATTTAGAAACTTAGGCTCTGCTGGCGCAGACTTGCGGCGATGGTGCAACACCACACCGTTGTTTTGGTCGTTTGGGTAAACTGCATTTTGGCAAGTTTTTCAAAAAGTTATCGCTGAAACTAGCGTTTTCCCACCGCTCCTGGCTAGGTGTAGTGGGAGCCTTCTAGCTGCTGTCTGACTTAAAAAAAAAAATTTGTATTAGCCACCGTAGCTTTCTGTAATATCTTTTTGCAATATCAGATTATTCTTTAACAGCTTCACAACAACTTCTTAATAAGCTGTAGCTGCTCCAAACGGAACCTGGGGCAGCTTATAAGTGCGGGTAACATTTTCAAAACGTCGCCTCACCATTTGGAAAAACACGTTTCGATAGCTTATTTGAAAACACGGTTGAGTTTTTACACTAAACGCAAGCCAAGGGTCGAAAACGCCGCGTTTCAGGATAAACTGCTTATTTGAATAAGCACAAGCTGTCCCAAATGCACCCAAGGCTTTTGTCCCCCATGAATAAAATTTTATTGTAGAATCTATCATGTTCAATTTGGTATCAATAAATTTGTCAAAAAATTCGTTTGACTTAGAAAATAATTGATATGCTAAGCTTGCCCTTAGTTCTTGTCTATTTATTGTAGGGATCAAGATAATTTTAGGAAGGATCATTGTCACAACTTGGATTTGAAAAGGTGGTATATATTGATAATGTGAGATTAAAGGGAGGGTTTAATTTTTATTTTTGAGACAAGTCTTAAAGTTGAGATTAGTTAAATTTATTTTGTGCTCTTAAACAACTCACTTATGCATAATTTTTAATTTAAAATGTATTGAGCGTGTGAATAGAAATATAATTAAAATTTTAATAAACAAATTGCGTTTTTAAATATAGTTCACTAGGAATTAATAACTACAATTAATAAAGAAAGGGTTGAAATAATAACTTTATAAATAACTTTATATAAATTGCATTAGTTGAGTAATATTTCGTAAGTTTTAAATAGTGCAAATTTTATATTAAGTGCTATGTAAATAATTATTTTAAAATGAGTTATTTTATAGATAATTAAGCTAATTATCATTATGAAAATTATTTTTAAAATCTTGAACTAATGTATAATCTATTTTTAGAATTATAAAGTCGAAGCTTAAAACTAGGATAAATTTTTTTTATCTTGTTTAGGCTTTTGATTTCTTAACGGATTATTCATTGTATGTTTGTAATTATGAAGGTGAGAATGTGTGGTTATCAAAAAAGTGTTCTAAAGAATTATAATTAACAAGAAGCTCTTAGATGGGAGGGTTTACAATTAGTGTGTATTGGTTAATGTAGACAAGGATTCAAAATTTTATTGTCGAGGACTTGCAAGTAAAGTTTGTATTGGTGATGAGTAGCATAGTGTATGAGAAAGGTTTGTTGCAACATGGCATTCAAAGAGAAAACCTTCTAGAGAGAATTATTTCGAGTTCCTTTATTACGCATGGTGTATATCACATCAATTCTTTGAGAGAATTTTAATCGAGAAGAAACTCTAATATTTGAGGGTATGTGATTCATGGTTGTTAGTCAAGGGGGACAAAATTTAGGTGTCCATAACTTACAATGAAAGTTTGCATTTGCTAAGGGTAGTACGGGGATGAGGAAGGCTTGGGTCTTCTCAAAGGGAAGAACTGTATAAGAATGACTAACAGACTCTAGTTTCTTCTAAGCTCTAATAAGATATTATGTTGAAAGCTCTAAATGAATTTTTGCCTAATCAGCCTCTAGGATCATGTACATAGATTAATGGTCTTTCGGCTCGTGAGCCGAGTTCAATGAGTTAACAAGCCAGTTTCAAACAAGCCCTGACTCGACAAATTTTCTTGTGAGCCTACTCATTTAAAAAAAATTATAAACTATACTCAAAATAAGTTATAATTTGTGATTTTATCTTTAAATGAGGAAAAATATTTAAAAATGATATTCTATATTTTATATTAAGTGATTCTTTTTTAATTTATCTCCTAATTTTTCATCATATTTATTATTTAATTATAAAATTATCTTGATATAAAAAAAATGATCTGGCCTAGGTACTTGGTGTTAATAAAAGTGGGAACAAACGATTAGACGGTAAAAATAAATATTTTTAAATAGTAATATTAGTCCACATTAATATTAAATTATAAGAGTCACTAATTCAAAACACATAAGTTAAACAAAACACATAAAATCATTTAGTCTCTTAAAGAAAAATAAGTAATACAATAAAATTGACAAAATATAGAAATAAATAATGTCACCTCTCATCAATAATTTTTGTATCCTTTAAACAAACTCCTCATATCTCAATCATTTTAGTATAACAATTCTTTTTCCTATAAGATTAGTTAAGTAACAAATTAGATTGTAAGCAATTTAATTAGTAATTATCGCTTCATTATGCAAATGACTAACGTGATAGTTTAAAAAAAATTGTTGATCAATTTATAAAGTAATTTTTGTGTTTTATAAAATTTTTATTCAATCATTTTAATCAACTATATTTTCATTCATTTTAATTATTTTTTTTAAAATTTTTTAAATTTTAAGACATTTCAAGAACAACAAAATCTTGTTCATTTTATGTCATAAAGACATCAATTTTTATTTTGTACTATAAAGATACAGTTTTTCTCATTTTTTTCATTCTATACTATAAAGGCAATATCATAAGACATCAATTTTTATTTTGTACTATAAAGATACAATTTTTCTCATTTTTCTCATTTTTTTCATTTTATACTATAAAGGCAATATCATTTTTATTTTTAATTTTATTTTCTTTGATATACATGAGTATAATAATGATCCCATTTAGTCCAATAAGGGGGTGACTCCTGATAGACTTAATAATATATCTTTCATTTAACTTATATTTGATTTCTTTTATTCATTAAATCCATTTATTTCTCTTTTAATGCAGTTTAAAATATAAAAGAATTGAAATTATAAAACAACCATATCGTTTTTATTTTTCTTTCGATTATAAGAGTATATTTAGTGCTTTCAATATGTATCAACACAAAACATTTTTAAAATAAATAGACTGAATTTAATGCAAAGAAATAGTATTCACCTTGATTTCATCTTATAAAAATATTTTTTTCAAGTTTTTTGATTTTTTTCTCAACAACTTCAATTATATTTTCATTCATTTTAATCAATTTATGTTGCCTGTTTTGTATAGTTTTTAATCTATCTTTGATCAGTCGAATGTTCACACTAACATCATCTATTAAATCTACACTCCTCACTTTCATTTCAACTGTTTTAGTCTAGCACAATTATTTCTTGCACTTTGTTCCATAAAGAATTTCATATGGAGTCATTCAAATGCTTGTATGGTTATTATTATAAGCAAATTTTATTAGAGATATATGTGACTCTCACGCTCCATGAAAATCTAGTATATACATAAACATAATAAATCCTCTAAAATTTTAATAGTCCTATCTGATTGACAATCTGTGTCTGGGCGAAAAGTTATATTAAAAGTCAATCTTGTACTCAAAGCCTCTTAAAATTTTTTCCATAATCTAGATATAGACATGTCATTTAAAATTATAGACCTGGGTATCCCATGGAACCTTATAATCTCATTCACATATAATTTTGCTAAGTCTTAATATAAATTGTCTGTCTAATGGGCAAGAACTAGGCAGACTTGATCAATTTATCTATAATAACAAAAATTGAACCTTATCCTTATCTTAATCTGGGCAAGTCAAACACAAAATTTATAACATTGTCCTCTCATTTTTACTTTGGTATTGGCAATGGTTGCAACTAAAAGTCTGGTCTTTGATGCCATGCCTTCACTAGTTGATATATATGACATTTAGTCACAAACTCTACATTATTTTTTTTTATCCTGGCCACAATAATATTTTTTTGAGCTCCTGATACATTTTATTACTTCCTGGACAAATAGTCTAGTTAGATAAATGTGTTTTCTTTAGAATTTTTTTTTCAACTCATTCACATGTAGAACTTAGATTTCACCTTTACATTTCAACAAACCATCTTCATCTATTATATGTCTCTGCAAACAGTTTGCCTTGACTTGTTCTTAAGATCTTCTGAGCAGTATCATATGTGGCTAGTGAATCTTCGATTATATCTTTTAAAATAGATTGAACTGATAACTGAAAAATGTTCTCAACATTATAAACAATCAATGATAGCTCCAATCTTTCCATATCATTGATTAATGTTTTTTGCTAAGTAATCAATCAATTTGAATTACCTAGAGTATTTCTATTTAGTGCATATACAACCACAATTGTCTTTTCCGGTGATATTGAATATCTAAATCATAATATTTAGTAAATTCTAGCCATTTATTCTGCCTCAAATTTAATTCTTCCTGTGTAAATATATACTCAAAGCTCTAATAATCTATAAAAAATTCATATTTTACTTCATACAAGGAATGCTTTCATATTTTAAGTGCAAACACAGATGTTGTTTACTCCAATTCATGTGTACATTGGATAATCTCTTACATGATTTTTATAAGCCTTGAGAGAAATGATTTTCTTATGTTGCATAAGCACACAATTCAATCCTTTTGATGAGATCACCGTAAATTTGAAACCCATTTTGACCTTAAGAGAATAGTTAAACTTGGGTCATCATTTTCACCTTTTAAAATGCTCCTCACAATAATCTTTTTCATTCAAATTTTACTTTCTTTTCTGTTAGCATGGATAATGGTTAGCAATTTTAGAAAACCCTTTCACAAATCTCTTGTAATATCCAGCAAGACTCAGAAAACTTCCTACTTTTGTAACTGTACTTAGTGTTGGCTAATTTGAAATTATCTTT